AGTGTACGGGTTTTTATAGGCACAGTCTTGAAACTTTCTGATCGCACCTCGTATGTCCATCATATTGAGCTCATACGCTACGCTGTGTTATTAGTGTTTACATACCATAAATAGAGTAAACACAAGTTGCAGTATAATTATAAAACAGGTTGCTGTCTTAATAAGCAATTAATGTGCTTCTAATTGTGCATAAGTTTTTGGGAATTAAAACTATAAAACCAATAGATTGAGTAGAAACAACCGCATATGAAAAAGAATAGACATTTTAAAGACCTTTCTTAAACTAATTAGCAGTTGAATTCAGTCCATACCCTCACACCCTATTTATTTAAGATTTATTTTAGTATTATCTTTCCGCCTAGGTCACTCAAATGGTCACCTTGGACATGTTCGACTAAAATGTTGCATATACTTCTGATTACCCATGCACAGCCGAAACATACAATCCTATAACACTAAAATATTAGATTTGTATGTTTCAAAAGTGCTGTGTTTTCACAGGTTACGCTAAAATGCCTGTGGAAATAAAGCATAATAAAAATAAATTGTTATTCCGGAGAAAATACAAATTTTCCTGCTCCTTGAATCACTAAATTTTGCAGGAGACACTAAAAGTACCACATAGCCAATAGGATATATTCTACAGTTGTTTTTATTTGTATGGTTGATAGGAACTCCACTTTCTGTGGTAGACTTACCTAGTATATAGATATACATGCACCTTGAGGTCTTTTGTTTGGGTGGCGAAATATGTAAATGCTGTTAGTAACAACATCGGACACAGGCCAGCCAGCGATAGACTGTGTCGGTATCACTGAAAAAACCTGAATGTTAATTAATGGTACAAGCTTGAAAATAGTTTGTCCACATTTGTTATAGGCCAAAGTAATGCTCGCAAACTCGAGCGATCATCAGTAATGTCAGGAGCTTAGGCCCTACGCTGTTGAAACTTTTCAATAAGTTGAATAAATATGCTTAATTGTTTTCGACATAAAATTATAGTCAGTATAGAGAAAGGGAATTATTTCAAACGTCTTCAAACTGGATACTGGTTAAAAGAACCAAAGTTCAGAGTGTTTTGACGTAGCTAGTTCGATTCGTTTGAATTAAGCGGTTTTTGACCAAAGTAAAAGTCAGATTGCTATTTGTCGTGTTAATCACAGACGAAGGAATTCTTACAGCTCTTCTGATGCTGTCAGTCGCATTGGCATAGATTTCATGGATGATTTGACGCTTTCCGCACGGATAATGTCTTCTAAGAAAAAGACTACTCAAACTGCGTGACCCTAATTTTCTGTTTTATAACAGTAGCTAACAGCAATTAACACCCTACTCACACCAATAAATGCGTTCATGGTGAAGTACTTTTCCAATATTTTGAAAATATTGAAATGCGCCATAGCAAAGATTTACACAGGCACGCCTATTTATTCTCAAGGTACAGAGGTTTTGAAGTTTTCTTTACTTCCGGGACTACGTTCTTCACATTATTGATTATTTTAACTCGTTTAAGCCAAGTTGAAACAACATGTTGTGTCTGATTTAATAATCACGAACTCTGCATTTTCCTCACAGAGTGTATTTATGGATTTCCTGTATGATTCTCAGAATAAAAAGGTATAATTCACTAAACAGCATCAACCAATTTACTTTTGTAATAGATAAGTGTAGTTTTTTCTTTGTGGTAAGAACTGAATTTTGAATACAATTCTGATGATCATCGTCTTCAAAGCGTTAAAGACAATTCCTCGAGAGACATGTAATGGCAATGGACTAAGTAACATTATCAAACATTTCCGTGCACGAAATGTATTATTATAAATATTAATGACTGGTTTGTTATTTTCCTCGAGGAGTGCTCTTGTGAAAACGGTAACGAAATTTGTGGTCCTGTAACATATGTGGAATTTCTTGACCGCTCGAGCGATTGTCAACTTCTAAACAACGCACTGTGAAGAAACTGGCATGGAGTTTTGTAGTTGTAATGTTTGCGCTGGGACAGAAGACATTGTTATTTGTGCAGTGAGTCAAGTTCTGTATCAGAAAGTAAATATCAGTTTTATGACCGCATTAGAGTGCATAAGACAAAGTCCGCGTTCGGCAAGGTGCGATTAACAATATTCTTGGTGCATTACTGCTTTATGCGTTACTTGCACTCTGTGTGAACGAACAATGGAAAGATAATGCTTGTTCCCCGTTTGCAAGTTTTGTCTCAAACCACATCAGAAAATGGGACTCAGCCTCTGAGGCTGAAAGAGTGAGCACGTAAGGGAATGTAGGATTTGAGGTTTTCACGGCGGTGAATCTGAAGAAGGCTGTCTTCTGGGTTGTTGCACCGTGTAATCTGGTAGAAGTTTGCCGACGTTTCAGAGGCCAGTGCTACCTCAATTATTAGGGCGATCAACAAGGGCCTCTGAAAAGTACGTACAGGGTGTTTCTTAAACACACGGTATTAACTTATGGTGTGTTGTATGCACAAAATAAACGAAGGACGTCTTATGTAAATATTGATTCTTTGACGCGTCTTCGAGTCCATTTTATTTTCGAAGAAAGATAAAAAGCAGCGTATAAACCCGTCCAAAAAAGTGCTTATTTATACATCGATGGTTTTTTTTTTATTTTTATATTTTTTATTTCGAGAACAGCAAATTACAAAAAATGCTGGAAAAATTTCCCTTGTGCGAGTCTCATTAAGGAATGCACCCAGAACTTTCAGGAGTGTTTGGGATTAAGTCTCAACCGTCTTCTACCCTCTTTTGTAGTTTTCATACATCATTAATTGCCACTGCATACACAGTACATTCAAGATGGTCCCATTAACACCGCTAGGGTCTTCCTTTTTCAAGTGGCCATAGCCCGAAAACGAAGCGCCCAAGGACTCATGCTTACACAGATATTTTTCGTTGTTTTGTGTACGAAATATGCCCCCGAGGTGGAGTCTTCACTTAAAAGAACGCGCTGTATATTTGTGCTAGCCATATGAATACTGTATCCAGGAGATTTGTGGCTTCTTGGGTCTCAACATTACTTTATAACAATTTTGTTTGGATTCCTTTAGTTGAGAGGATGGGAACTGGATTCAGAGTAATTTCCGCATTCGCTTGGAGGAGTTCAGAGAATTACAGGCAGGTCATGCGGTTTCTCCGTGAACCTCCAGAGGAAGATATTTTATAAAATTTGCGTCTCTGTGACTTTTGAATTTAAAAATAACAACTGTTATGTGAGATATGAATAGCGCTACCAAGCGGACATTACGCATAGAGGGGAAAGGGGAAAACTGGAGGAAAAATAATTAATTTCGTCAGGGTGTGTCGCAGGGAGAATGATTATTTGTTCCTGTAGTTTAATCATTTGTTGTTTTCGACCAAAGTTATCGGATTAATTAACGTTTTAGTCAGCAGAGAAATACTACATGGTGTAGGCACATACGAATATTTTATTAGAAGGAATACATTTATTACTTCCTGGTGTCCACAAAGAATAATTATGATCGAAATTCATTGCACAGCACGGCCACACAGACATGACCCGTCAGGTTCTGTCTCCTTTAAAGAAGAGGGGGGGCTTAAAATGAGATAAGTTGTTGCATCAGTAAGAACTCCGTCGAGAACTGATTATCCTGATTGATAGTTTCTCAGATTTCTGAGTTAAGACAGGCTTTTGACAAGAAACTGTCACATAGCTGATCATGCCCGCTTCTGCCTCTGTTCTTTAGGATTCTCCGTGCTGATTTATTATTAAAAATTAAGAAATAATTTATATTCTTGTATAAACACCTAATAAGTATTTTAAAATCCTTTTGTACAAAATCTGATCTCGGTACGTCACGAGTCTCTTGGTATTTCCCGAAGCCTTCTTATTTATAGACAAAGGAAAAGTACGAGGGTTCCCAATTCAGGTACTTTCCGTCTTGTAAGACGTAATCGTTCGTAGAAATTTACGTCAAACCAGCAGTAATAGATAACATAGCATGGTCCTACATCAGGAGTCGTGAATCAGTGATTTTCGCGATGTCATATTGGGCGTAAGCAAAATTATAAAACGAAGTTATATTTTCGATCACTCTCCTTCGGAAGAAGAAAATTCTATTTCTATTTGTACTATATGACTCGATTGAAGGTTTCAACGCCTCCATGCTCCATGCCTACGTGACGGATAGACTAGGCAACAGTTTCTCGAATCCAGGATGAACACCATGACAGGGTTCCTCCCACATTGTGATAACACATCCTTGTACCCACCTGTTTGGCTTCGGCAAAAGGAAATGTATGAGATCATTCCACTTATCTCACAGTCCTCCACATACATTTTTCACGGCTCCAAGTTTACGTAAATAAACAACTTAATTAACCACCATGACATGCTGACATACTATATTAGTTCATGACAAAACAAATTAATTATGACGTTTCAAATTACATCTCTGCATTTTATGAAATTTACAGGCACATATTAGTCTCGGTCTAGAAACCGGCTATTATTATTGAAGTTTCTCATTGTTGCCCTCAGTTCTTCTAGACAAATAGTCATCTTAAATTTGGTCTTGTCTTAAATGTAAGTGATCACCTAAAAGTCTGTGAGAGTGGATGCTACATACCGTGGAACTTTGTAATTTGCACAGGTCACATAATATTTCTAGGAGAGTGAAACCCACTAGACTAGGATGTGCGAAGTATCAGGCAAGAGTTGGAGAAACAAGTAATTTGGAAAAGCCTGTTGAAAGTGTTTACTTGGAAGACGAAGAAGGACATGGGTGGGTAATAGCAGCATAAATCTTGGGGAAACAAGTCGTGAGGGGGAGAGGTAGATAGAACTGGCTGAAGATCATTTTCTGTAGTGGAATCAATCATTTTCAATTGCGATTTCGAACCTTCGGCTTTTGCTGCTAATGTCAGCGGCAGGAACCATTCGCCATACTTCAGTGAATTGTCGTTATGAGTCCGAAGTTAAAGAACAGTGCTGGAAAATATGCAAATACTGATGGTGTTCGTTCTGTGCAGGTCTTCTTCTTACTTCGCCGTTGCCCATCTGCCACGTGCGGGCCGCAGCGGCTGCAGGTTTGACCCCGCTGTAGACGCTGTGGTACCTGGCACGGGGAACAGAGTCGCTGACCTTCAAACTGGTAAGTGATGCCGGCGCTCACAGCTTCCTGGATCTGCAGGAAAGATGAATTCCTAGTTTGGAGACGTGAAGGTAGTCTGGCCGAGTCTTTGTGACTAACTGGGGTTTTCGGCCAGCAGCATTTGTTCTTACTGGCTCACTCATCAACCGAAATGTCAGATCTTCGGATATTCTGCAGCTCTTTCGATATGGGATTGGTCCATGGTCGTGATGGACGCAGTGGCATTGGGGCAGGTTTTTCTCCGAGTTTTTCGGGTTTTCCACTACCGGTCATTGTTTTACCATTTCCCTACTAATAATCTGACAACCCGCGAGAAGTTCGACAGCCCTGATGAAGCCACTCATACAGGCGTCATCTCTGAGCGGGCACTTGACTGGCCTTGAAGCAAAAGTAGTTTAACTTAACATGGTTGGAAAACGGTGAAATGTTTCATTGTCATTGGAACGGATGAATCACAATAGCTGAGAAGGGTGTTTAGATGAAGTGTGAAAGGGTACCGTAAAGATTTCCGTGATGACATAGGCAATCGAAACCATGCACAGGGAGGAACCAAGGTCACTTCTTGTGCACGTGTCGTGACTCAGATAAGCAAACCACAGCCGCCAGTACGAGGACACCCTGTGCCGTGCCCGACAATGCTCAAACCCTCAGTTGTCTATTTTATCACTGTGGAAACCCGACTTCAGTCTCAAGGCAGTCTGTTTTGAATTTAAAGTGAAACAAGTGGAATTGGGTATATATTTTTTTCTGGGAAATTTTTTGACTACTAATAATTATTCCGCTGATGCTTTTTTATCTGTCGTCATTCTTATCAGGGGCGAGTGTAATAGGCTCATTTGAGGTCGCGTTATTAAGGGAGCTCCGCGTGTGGTGTTCCATATGATTTGGATTAGGTCAAAATAATGTGTGTATGAACAACGGCTGAGAGACGGAAGTAGTTATTTTGGACGTATTAAAGAATTGCTATTCTCCTATTCCAGCTTTTAGACTCGTGAGATTAAAACTTTATTCCAGACTTCAGTTATGTTTGTGTTTTTAATAGTGGTTCGAAATTTAAAATTCTTTGAAAATTATTTTGATTCTAACGAAATGAATCAAATTTAGCCGTTCTGTACTAGAATATAGGCCTCATCTTAGGAGTTTCTGTCAGATAACAAATAGAAGAAGGTACCTGTTGCAATTAGGGTAAGAATACATTTTATTATTGAGTTCGAAAACTGTCACGATAGTCCAAAACGCTGAAGAACAGGACCCCTATTGATTTCAGTGATACTTAAATGAATACATTACAATAATGAAAACATAGCAGATGCCAGCATTACGGCGAAACATACCGTCAATTTCGTCAAGGCTTCTCCGAAACTTTGGTATCCACCCACAAATCCACGTGGTATTACAACCCGGAATACCAGCATCGACATACAGAAATTTTATGAGAAAACCTCTTACAAAGCGTCCATTTGGATGACCGAGAACTAAATAGTGAGATAATATTAAGATGGATGTTAGGGATATGGGTTTGGAGATGGGAGGTGTGTGGAATTCACTGTGTTCTTGTCTAACGGCGCGTGTTCAATATTGGAATTCTGAAACTACAGAGGTAGTTTGGTGTTGCAGTGTACATACATGCAACATTATCTAAACGCACTCTCGCGGGAATGTAATAGACCTAATATTTTGGCCCACGTGGAACATAGTAAAAGTACAGAGCAGCCAGCAGTATTTAAATGCAATGAATAAAGTGAGTCGTTGAAGACTTCTTTTTCCAGTGCATTCAAAACTGACACATCCATGTATATCCAGTGTACATGAATATAAGAATCAGGTCTGCAAGTTAACAGTCGGTGGTTCGATTCCCCTCATCAGCAAAACGTTTCAAGCCACGCTCGCTTTTGTTTAACAAAGTTGTCCTCCACACCCAGCCCCTGCCCTATCATTGGCAAGATTTCGTTGAAACTATCCGTAAGTCTGGTAATTAATATTTATTTAAATTCATTATGTTTATAATTTGATTTAAGCGTTCTCCACAACAAATAAAATTTTGCAAATAAGTAACTCCACGGATCAAAATCGTTTCCGAGAAGCTTGTAGTTGATCATTATTAATCATAATGACACAATAGTAAAATTTATGTTTGTATTTAATAATTCAAATCGTGTTGGAAGACAAAATATTTTTATCACACTTAGGACCACATTAGTGCAACAAATACCTATGTTGGGGTCCGCAGTGGCCGCACAGTCTGAGATGTGGGCCTTGTGCTGCTTGGTCACTGGGACCGTAGGTTCAAATCCCACTCAAGCCATGGATGTTTTTCCGCGTTTTTCTGTGTTGTGCTGTGTACAGGTAGAGGCCTTGCGACGAGCCGCTCCCTCGTGCAAGGAGTCCTACCGAATGTCTATAGAACAAGCCAACGAAAAGTTGGGACCCGCAGTGCTCAGGCACTTGAAGAACGGGTGGTTCCCAGTATCCCCAGTAATACCTATGTTATGTGGCGTGAATAACATGTATGGGATGTCAGTGTACTCCAAAGAGTTCACCTTTCGAATTACGTTATATATGAAGAACGACTTAGTGTTAATACACATCTCATTTCCTAATCCTTGCTACATGTCTCGCCCATTTCAAAGTCCTTCGTCTCATTATCCTAATATTCTATGAAGAGTGTCTACAAATACGAAGATCCTTGTTATCTTGTTTTCTCTCATCGGTCCAGGTATTCTCCTTATCACTCGTCATAAACTAGACAATAAATTATAATATTCGTTTCAGGAAGGTCAACAGGTGAACTCAAACATATTTTACCAACAAGAGTATGTAATTGCTTCTTCCCCGTACCAAATTGTATAGATTTGATACAACGACGTAGACTCGACTTCTTTTGTGGACTAGTAGCTAGCCGCAAACATTCTGCGCACGCACAGAGTGTAGCCTCTGGATAGACAATGACGGGACTCGACCCACAGACCTGTCATTAACGATACAATAATGCGATATCATCTCAACAAATGGAATCGGCAGAAACGGAGAAATCGATGCTGAAGATTACAGCCCCGTAATATTCCAATACCTAAACTTTAACTATATATAACGAACTCCGAGCATGGTCAGCAGATACGTGCGGATAAAAAGCAAGAATCTAGGACCGCCTGAAGGCTTGGCCGCAGCATTCAGTTGGAGGTCAAAGCAAGCAAGCCTGCATTCCTACCAATGTCGCCTACTCTAACGAGAGGACAGCGTGACTAAGCATACACAAACCCCAGGTGACACATGACGTGGTATGACTCACGATGAACTTCCAGAAGGATCGGCCAAGTCTGATTGATGAATATTGCATCGTTGCGCAATACATAAATTGTCGACAACAAAACAATGCACTTGAATAAAAGTTAGTTTCCGAAAGAGAAAAAGAGCGGTGAAGGTATCTGTTACAGCAGTAAGGTAAAAAGTTCTCACGGCAGTCATCACCCTGATTACAGAGGCAGTACGATCCTCTGAAATGTCGGTCAGTATCTACCAACTACACGGTACATCCCACACTCGTCGCCGTGAGAAAACCTGAAATTTCATCTATCAATTTACACTTCTTAAATAATACTGTTTATAGGGAACATTTCTTTCTAACACCCCAGAAATACGGAAGCAACAACTAAGATAATACTTGTAAAGTAGTCTTACACGTTTGGTAGCGGTACAAGTTGAGATAAAATTGAATGAATGTGGAAAATACAAAGAGAAGCTACGCAAAAGCCCGAATAAACAGACATTGCTACCGTCGGCAGAGCAGCGCGGGGAAGGCAAATATTGTCCACCAGTCGTTGGGAACTCCAAGCGGCTGGTTGTGTACCCTTTCCATCTTCACATAAAGAGACCCCGTATTATCTCACGTGTTTTACTCTTCCCGCAAACCAGCCCCGTTTCTTCCTTGCAAGACGTCACTGCCACATTGATGTGTTCGTGTGGTCAGTCACAAGCTCCGATCAAGGGCGGTTCGCGGTTCTCTGTTGTCATGTAATGAGCAGACATTAACCCTTTGAAGCCGAAGATCGTCTGAATATTATTTATGAATTCAGTCTGTACCGCGAAGAAAACACTACACCTCACCATTACGAAAATCAGCTGGTTAACCCTTTGAAGCCGAAG